ATAAATCAATATGGCGGGACAAAATATCCTAAAATACCCACTTAAGGTTTAAAAGAAGTAAACATCTAACAATAACGAATAAAAACAAATAAAATAACACTCCATTAATTCACTTTTAAGCCACCTGGAACGTGCAAACCAGTGAAATTTGCGCAAAACTCCTGTATCTATCGCGATAGGGAAAGAAAGATGGGGACTACCCAGGTACCTACAAATTCCTCGAATTCATTCGAGTTTCTTTTCCGGATTCCGCGGAATTCCGACGCGTTTCGTACGCAAAGATGTCTGTGTTTTTTTTTTCTAAAACAACGCGCATGCAAGTCTGTAAATTGCGGCCGATCGTCGCAGTCCATAGAATCCTAGAAAGCGAAGAACCACCGGGCCCGGTGGGCGTGGAACGTTTCAAGCTCGAGTAAATGTATAACTTGAGTTACACAACCGCGCGTGCATATAACGTATTGTTTTCCCGTTCTATTCACCCGACTTCCCGGGTGTGTTTGCTGCCTTTGCACTCTGTCATCATGCGTTTTTCTCATCCTTAAACGCGTCGAGTAAACGACTCGCGATCTGGTTCAGCGAGCCCCGTGTGTTCCTTCCCCCGAACGAGCGACAGTTTATTGTCGTTGATCTTGTTTGTTTTAGAATCTATGTTTTTACCGTGCAACGTCAGACAGCTACTGCAAACTGACCTCTGAGAAATTTAGATTAGCCCTAGACGCTACACCTCTGCAACTCCTTTGTTCGCAGGCTTTGCGGGTCAAATACACCCTCTCGCGACTCCACAGTTTGTTCTTCCAGCTTTAAACACTTTGAAAAACACTTTAAAGTCGGAGTAACTCTTCAATATTTATTACAAATTATTTTGTTTAATCATTTCTATTTGGAAGTCATTGTTTCTCGATTATTGACGAGAAGCTTCGTTGGATCTCAATTATATTTCGGATTACGTCTCTCGTACGAGCCAGTAGGCGCATAAAATGCGAACAGTGGAACGAATATCGGTATTCGATGCGTCCAGGAAATTTTCGCGTTAATTAATCGCGGCGCGTACGAGCCGCCGGGGAAGCTGTAGTTTTATTTAACGGAGTTTCGCGACAAATTCAACGACGGCAGGATCGAGAACACTCTGTGAAACGAGACTGTTATTAACGGACGGTGAGACGCGATAGTAGGTGGAAAGGTACGCTTACGTTGACCCGGTTACGAATTACCCACGATCGAAGTGCTCTTGCATTTTGCTGGGTCAATGCGCTCCGGGGTTGACTTCTCGGTATTTCGAGCGCAATAACCTGAGATTAAGTCATCGTGACGTAGTTACGTATCGTTTAATCGAGCACATTCGCTTACACTATTTAGCGCGCGGCGCTTATTTGCATGCGAGAACGATCCGTGCTCGTTTATCCGACTCGAAAATCTTTTCCACGAAACACGACGAACGTGCGCCCACGATTATTCTCGTTACGCCTCGTTGCTCGCTTAACAATTAATCCAGCGATCTTAATTTGACCGTTTGTGGAACCCTTTGGACCCCAATTTAAGGCCACTTTTAGCGATAAATAAAAAAATACAGCATAAGAGTAAAAAAATGAGACCACCTTTGTATATCAAATTTTCAGTCTCTCGAGAATTATTTGCATGCTCGTTTAGAACCCTTTGAACCTCAATTTTAGGGCCATTTTTATTAATAAATAAAAAAATACAGCATAAGAGTAAAAATAAGATGACCTTTGTATATTAAATTTTACCTCTAGGGAATGATGGGTGATTCTAGAGGCCAAAATAAGACGATAATCAAGAATACCAATTTGTTGATAGAGGCTTTGTTAAAAAGTTATTAACATTTAAAGTTCCGCCCATACTGAATTTTTTTCTCGAAAATGCGCAGGATTTCGGGGGTATGTTTATTCACCAAAAATAATTGTAATTGACCCATGCAACCAAAAATAATTTTTTTAGAACAATTTGAAATTTTTTAATTTTGGCGAAAAATTTCATATATTCTCGAATTTTTTTCTCCAAAGTGGGTAGGATTTTGGGGATATGTGCAATGACCAAAAATGATTGTAATTGACCCCCGCAACTGAAAATAATTTTTTTAGAGCGATTTGAAAAATTTTTTTTCGCCGAAAAATTTCACATATTCTCGAATTTTTTTCTAGAAAATGGGTGGGATTTCGGTGGTATGTCTATTCACCAAAAATGACTATAATTGACCCATACAATCAAAAATAATTTTTTTAGAACGATTTGAAATTTTTTAATTTTGTCGAAAAATTTCACACCTTCTAGAATTTTTTTCTCAAAAATGCGTAGGATTTCGGGGGTATGTCTATTCATAAAAAATGATTATTATAGACCTCTACAGCCAAAAATAATTTTTCCAGAACGATTTGAAATTTTTGAATTTAATTGTTAATAACTTTTCAACGAAGCCCCCATCAACAAATTGGTATTCTTGATTTTCGTCTTATTTTGGCCCCCAGAATCCCTCATTAAAATTTCTCCCAGGGGTGGTTGAACACCCTTATAATTTTTCTGTTATGATTTACATTAGAAGGGTCTATTTAAATAACCCCCAAAATGAGAAAAAATTCAAGGGATTATCGACTGCACGATGTCACGCGTTCGATAAGGCGCGAAAGTATAGCATCTTTTTTTGCTTCTCTCCATTATCGAACGCCTCTGATAACGATGATAACGCGCATTATTGCAAGTTTAGTCTCGCGTTGCATTTTACCGGGATCTCGTGTCGTTTTTCGCAGCTGCAATTCGATAGTTGTTCTCTATTCGGTCGCTCGTCATGGAGATCCATAGATTCCCCAAGTGGAACGTGATCGACGAGTACTTCAAGGACTTCAACTACTATTTTAAATTAGTAAGTACTCGCGGATCCGTCGTTCTTCGCGCGGCTCTCGTTACGCCTTTTACGTAAGCCACTTGACTCGCGGACCACGGAATCGATTAATCGCTGGGCGTGAAAATTTACGATTAAATCCGCGCCGGGGACAATCTTTCATTCATGAACGGGGGCCACGTTGAACGCCATTTTTTTATTTCTTTGGCGCGTCGAAAATTCGATTGGAATTCCTCGCTCGAAATTCTTCGTTACTCTCTGCTCGATTAGTATAAGGTCAGGTAGTATTCTATAACGTGAACGATAATATTAATTATTATTTTAATAAATTTTATAGAATTGTTCCTGATACCAGTTAACATTAGCTTAGATTTTCTGTTAGAAATCTCTCTATTGTTCTCTTATCTTATTAATTTTCGTAAGTCTTTCTCTTCTTTCTCTATATAAAGAAAACTTACAAAATGACTGATTAAACTCTGTTCTATAAACCAATAAACACACACAAAATAATCTTAATACTGCAACGATTAGGTGTCTCGGTAATATCGAGCTTAGTGTGATACAATGACTTAGTTTTATCGATTTCAAGACTATCTACGCTATTACGGGGTGGCCTAGAAAATATAACCAGCGATTGGCAAATTTTTTATTCAAAAATTTCCAACACTTAATAAAAGATTCAACTTTTGATACGTATATTGTGAAATAAAATAATATTGCACGTTGGAAACGAATGAAAGCTTATCTCAATATCCGTTCGTTAGATAAACGTTAAACTGTAATATTGTACTTTTATCCATTATTTTCTGTTGGGAAAATTCTTTTCTGCAACATTGGTCTCAGAGCGATGGAGAGATTTATCGATAACGATTATGGATACAAATTACTACTTCAGTATTTAAAAAATAACAAAACTATAGCAGTAATCTGGATCTAACCCTTCGTGGTATTGGGCTCGGAAACAATACTACGATACAGGTTTATCGATTCTAGTTCTTGGAGAGTAAAGCATTATTTCTGTCAGATTAGAAATTCCCTGTTTGCACATATGACACACGCCAGTGATGGAGAGAGGTAAACAGTTTCGTGGCGATAAGACGGATACAATTATCATTAATTGAACAGGAGGGAACAGTTCACTGGCAAGAACAAGATGGTAATTAGTCGGTCGCAACACCGTTTCCCGGAAACGAGCATAAAGAACTGTCGATTAACCCCGATGCAATTTTCCTAGAAGTACCGTGTATGACTGTTGTCGCGCCTCCATTGTTTGCGTGGAAATTGCAACTGTGATCGTGACTGCATTCTTGAAATCCAGTTGACTTCTGTTCTGTGCAGCCTAGATATACACATGGTTCCCCTTTGCGTGTATGTTCGATATCAGCGGAAGATCCTGAATCCTGAAGCACTCCAGTTTATTTTATCAAACCTATAATCAACTATCCAAGTCCTTAAACAACAAACACAATGCATTCTTCGTGATAGAAGAATATTGAATATCTTGGAAATATGAAACATACAAGATTCTCAATTTCAAAGCACTTGAATTGCCTTTCTGCAATGTCAACATCAAGTATTCAAGTCCCAAAGTTACGAATCCATTCTTCTTTCGAACGAAGAACTTTAGAGAACTTTACCTTCACTCTGAATTAAATAAGAGTTAAACAAGAACTTCGAAGACCTATGCATGATCCTGAAGACACCAGACACTCGAAGATCCTAAATCCTGAGCTACTCAAGTCAATTTGTTCCAAGAATGAACGAATCAAGCATGCAAGTCCTAAAACTACGAATCCAATTCACTCATCTCTAAATCGAAGAATCATAAAACACCATAGATACGAAGCATTCAAACGAAGATCCTGAATTTTGAAGAATTTCAAGCACCTAATTCCTAAAATTACGAATCCAAATCATTTCTCATTGAACTAAGAATCCTGAACATCCAAAGTCTGATACTCACCCGGATAACTGAAGCTCTCCAATTGATTGTCTCGATCAACACTATGAGAAATTAAGTACCCAACTTTGAAGACACCAAATTACTCGAAGATCCCCAACTCCTGAGACCAGTGAATCCTGGATCCCCAGTTTCCTATCCTAGGAAGAGGTGCCAAAGGTCTGAAAGAGAGCTTCTTTTTGTTAGATCGACGAGAATGGGGACGGTTTCATCAACCTCACGGAGCTGCGCAGCGCCCTGGACATATGCGGGTTCAAAATGCCCGGGTACAAGGTGCGCCAGATGATCGAGGAGTACGACGACAAGCAGAGGTCCGAGCACAAGGGACGTCTCTCATTCGAGGAGTTCGAGAAGCTCTGCAAGGAGCTGAAGGCAAACGAGTTGGGGTCCACGTTCAAGCAGGTCGTGTCGAAGAAGGAAAATCTCGAGACTCTGGGTGGGATTTCGGAGGCTTCCAGCGAGGGCACCACGCACTCGGTGAGACTGGAGGAACAGCTCGCCTTCAGCGACTGGATAAACACAAATCTCTCCCACGATCCCGATTTGAAGCATCTGCTGCCCATCGATCCGGAGGGCAAGGCGCTGTACGAAAAGGTCAAAGATGGAATTCTCCTCTGGTAAGCGTTTCTCAATATTTAATATTTTTTAGTTCGTTAAAAGCACTTAACGATCATCTAACATCGTGGGTTCCTCGTTTCAGTAAAATAATCAATCACTCTTGCCCGGACACGATCGACGAACGGACCATCAACAAGAAGAATCTAACATTGTACAAGAAGCACGAGAACTTGACTCTGGCTCTATCCTCGGCCCAAGCAATCGGTTGCAACATAGTGAACATCGACGCCCACGATCTCACGAAAGGTTCTCCTCACTTGGTCCTCGGTCTCTTATGGCAGATCATCAGGATCGGTCTGTTCAATCAAATCACTCTGGAGAATTGTCCTGGGCTGGCCACTCTGCTGCAGGATGGCGAGCGTATCGAGGACCTGCTGAAACTCTCGCCAGAATCGATACTGTTGCGATGGGTGAACCATCACCTGGAGAACGCCGGAATCGCCAGACGGTGCAACAACTTCCAGTCGGACATCACCGACTCCGAGATTTACACCTATCTGATCAAGCAAATCGCCCCCCACACCGCAGGCGTCACTCTGGAGGCGTTGATGGAGCCGAACCACACGTCACGAGCGGAGATCATGCTCCAGCAAGCGTCGAAATTAGGATGTCGCAGCTTCGTGACGCCCAGCGACGTGGTGAACGGCATATACAAGCTGAATCTCGCGTTCGTCGCCAACATGTTCAACAACTACCCGGGCCTGGACAAACCGGAGAGCAACATCGAGGGTCTGGAGTCTCTGGAGGAGACCAGAGAGGAGAAGACCTACAGAAACTGGATGAACTCGATGGGCGTGGTGCCTCACGTGAATTGGCTCTATTCCGACCTGGCTGACGGTCTGGTGATCTTCCAGCTGTACGACATCATCAAGCCGGGCACCGTGAACTGGAACAGGGTGCACAAAAAGTTCACCAAGCTGCGGAAGTTCATGGAGAAGCTGGAGAATTGCAATTACGCGGTCGAGCTTGGTAAAACGATGAACTTCTCGCTGGTGGGGATCGCCGGTCAGGATCTGAACGACGGGAACGCGACGTTGACGTTGGCGTTGATCTGGCAGCTCATGAGATCGTACACCCTGTCGATTCTGACGTCGCTGGCTGGCACACAGGGCAGCACCCTGGTCGAGAAGGAGATCGTCCAGTGGGTGAACTCGAAACTACAGGGGGCGGGGAAGAGCAGTAGCATCAAGGGCTTCCAGGATTCCTCGATATCCGATGGAAAGGTGGTGATCGATCTGATCGACGCCATTAAACCGGGAACGGTTAACTACGAGCTCGTCAAGGAGGGTGGCGCTGAGGAGGTGAGACCCTGGGGGGATGACTTTGGATAGGGTGTTTTGGTAATATAGGGTCAAAGGGGGCTAAAGAAAGGATTGACAATTGTATTGGAGGCTTTGTTTGCGAGAAATATCACTCTTGTATGCAATTAACTGATGATTGGAGTTGCAAACTTTGTTTTAAAATTCGCTTATCTAGATTGCTCAAGAAAGTTTCCATTTTTGTTGTCAAGGCACTGCACTTTGTTCGAGAATGAAATTGATTCGATTAACTGGACAAACAGATCGATTTAAATTCTTTTCCATGCTCGAAGGCTATCGCTCTTTTTTTGGCGAGACTATTCTTTTTTAAGGGTTATCGACGATGCGCGATAGCGTAATCTCTGAATGGCCTGGGATATGAAAATTTGCGTTCGAGCGGATTTAATAACAAGTTATTATTTTTACCGAGAGAACTTTTTGCTTAATTATAATTCGTGTGCCAAATTAGAGTCAGGTATAGAAGATCCGAGTCACCCATTGTGAAACAAACATGGCCGCCACTAGAGAGTTAATAAGTCCCAACTAACTCTTTCAAATACTATAATAATTTTTTACCATAACCACCTCAGTACAACTAATATTCCTTTCCATTAATTTTGACCAAAACTCAAGGAACCAAAATGGCAGCTCAACCCCGCAAATTTTCAAAGTCGTATATCTCGAAAACGAAGCCTCTAATGAAAAATGTTTGCTCTATATTTTTTACTCCATTTTTCACGGAGAATCACCAGGAGTAGCGAACAATCCGTATATGGATTATTAATAGTTCTTTTTGGGGGTTTCTGAGTCCCCCGATCGGGGGAATGAAAATAGAAATCGGTGGAGGCGATGGTTCGTCCTCGAAAATCGAACGAAGACGTTCCATATGCGCGTTTCCACGTAACCGATCGTCACAACGGCGTGACTAATCGGCGACTGCCGCTCGGTTGCAGGAGAATCTGGACAACGCGAAGTACGCGATATCCTTGGCCCGGAAATGCGGCGCGCGCGTCTACGCGTTGCCTGAGGACATCACCGAGGTGAAACCGAAGATGGTGATGACGGTGTTCGCCTGCCTGATGGCGATGGATTACATCCCCAACATGGACTCCGCGAAGCAACAGAACAACGTGAACAACGGCCAATAATGTCGCGCGAACGTGTTTCACGCGCGAGAACTGTCGACTGAGCCTTGGTTGCCGCGGTACACCGTGTCTCTGCTGCGAACGTAATAATTGTATATACCTAGGTTAGGGTAGCTTGTTTTCCAAAATGAAACCAGGGAGATAGATAGAAAGGAGAATCATGGAACGAATCACGGTACGACGACAATGGCGTTCACATTCTGGACCAGCGGACCTCGTAAATTGTCGGACAAAACCTTTCTGACTTATGAAACACGATAAATCCTGTATCCGATCCACTGGAGAGACTGCTACCAGCACACTGTGATTATTGTATCGATTAAGTTACAGAAGTTTAGACGTCAATCGATAGAGTAGGATCAGAGAGATGTTGGGGGAGTATTTCGGTCTAGCAATCTTTCTTTGTTATTTTTTTAAAGGCAAACCATAGACAGCTCTGTATTGAGATTCCGTACATATAAATAGTGTTGTTTCGAGTATACACAGTATATTTGTCAAGAAAAAACACTGAAAATCATAGGAGATACAGATTATTGAAAAGTGTCATGGCTGACGCAATTCTAGCCGGTTCCCAGCAGTAACTTTGTTATTTCTATGCATTTCCAAGCCGTTGATCTGAAGCAAATGAAACGAAAATCGATCTTTTTCCCCCAAATTTGAGACCAGAGTACTTCCTGGAGTAGAAATCCTCAAGTTCGAGGCCCAGCGTGATTTTATCGAGTCCTTGCGTGGTCCAGGATGTTGGGCAACGCCGTAGATCCTGCTAGCGAGCTTCGAGGGAGTGAATCGTGGAGATGGATCGTTACGATCGTACGGAGCTACGTGGAGGCGTTTAGTGTATACGATAGCACTTCTGTACGCTTCTTTACCGGTTGTCGGTCGCGAGAGAATCGTATCGCGTGATATGGGATTCCCCCTCTCCAATCTTATTCCGCAATCATATCCTTGTCTAGCTCAAACACGTTCGTAATTAGGACTGTTCGAGTATTTTAGAAGTGTTCGAATGCTACGAACGAACATTGAACACTTGAGTATTCGAATGTCGGTGTGAAACAAGAGTGTACTCTTGCACTATGACTGGGACTGCTTATCGAATCGCACTGTTTCGAGTAATTCTAGAATACCACGAATATTACTCTGAAATCCAGCGTACCTTATTATTAGACTGCGGATGTTTATGCATTTATGGGAAATTTTAATCCTCAAAAAACTACAGAATGCATTTGATATGCAAAAATATAAGAAATACTTAATTTAGGGGTTGAGACAGCACTCTGTGAAGCTTCCGTTTCAATAATTTTATTAACAAAAATATGAATTTGCATGAAGATCCGCAGTCTACTTATTATCATTTGTTCTCCCCGTGTCGTTTATAATTATCATTAACGCGTTAAATGGCGATCACTGACGTTAGGAATAGCACTAAAGAACAAGCATGCCATTTTGTAATTTGAAAAAATGTATTACTAAGAAGGAGAAAGAAGAAAAAAGAAAAAGTATCGTGGTATTCTGGGGTTGGGAATAACCGAGCGCCCAGTTATTCGAATAGTCCGGTATTCGAATGGTATTCGCCGAAAATCTGAATCATCGAATCGTAGGAATATTGAAATACAGAGAAATTAGAGAGATAGTCCTAGACCTGTTCGTAACGCGACCCTAGATTTGTATAAATCGATTTTGTAACATCCGTTCTGTCAATAATCGATGTGGGGAAGAATAGTCAATGAAAATCGACGCGACAAAGCGTTCATATACCCAGATACCGAGAAATTCGAATGTCATTCGACCGGTATTCGATCATCCGGGTCGAAGGTTTTAATCAACTTCGTGGGAACGAAAATAATTGGCGTATACCGGATATACGCTACCTTCAGATTGTCGATTATATATATATATATATATATATACATACATATATACTATATTTACATTCTTAAATCATATATATATACTTGAGATGTATACACGTATTTGATATTGCGAGAAACTGTCATACTTTTACAATGACAATGTCTTCGATCGATTAATCAATTAAATTGAGCAACCTGCACGAGGCAACGCTGAAAGTTGTACGATTCGTTTAAACAATTGAACAGGAAATAATTGCGAAACTTTTGGATGCATTTGAACGTTCGTCCTCGAATCGTTTTGCGAGGACGAGCGACGTTTAACGTTTAATTTTAAACCTACCTGAATTTTATATCGACGTTCGAACGTGTTTTAATAACATGCAATTGTTGATAAAAAGAGAAAAAAAAATAGAACAATAGAGAATTTGGATTACTTTTACGACGAATACAATAACGCTGAAACAGCGAGCAACGATATACGAAATGAACGCACAAAGATCATTGTAATCGTGCCATTATAAATATCGAGACGCAATCGTGATTGGATGTTTATGCAATATTTAACGATCCATTCGAAACGGAACTACGTACTTACGTATTTAATGGCGGCGCATACGAAACACGTCGCGGATCGCTTCCTTTTTGTACATTCTGCGAACGAAACAGCATGCTGGTTCCTCTTGATCGTACGCGTATTGAACGACGCGCGAGTCTAGCCGGAAGTGCAACTGATTTTAAACGACAGAATCGTTTTTGTGGCTGAACGTTAGCTTTATCGAAACGAGTCTGAGTTGCACGCGTTTTTTTTGGAAAGAATATATCGCGCGTTTCGATAAATATGCACTATGGGCGCAGTAATCCGAGAGTTCGAGAACATCGTTGGAAACAAAAATTCGAGACGAGGAAAGCTCGTTGCATTTTCCAATACTCATATACTCGAAACTTTCGAAATATTTGACTAAAGTTTCGGTATTTGGCGCGGTTCGAATAATCAAAATTACCCGATAATTTCGTTATTTGGGTATTTAAATATTCGCGTACACTTAAACGGTCGACTATTAAAGTAACGAAACTCTGCTTCAGACTGAATAGTCGAGATACTTGTAAGGTTCGAATAATCAAAGTCTCCAAATATTCGAGTACTCGGTTTGGTTCGAACAGCAAAGGTATCTAAATACTCGAATACCTTTATTACTCAGTTCTCGTAGAAACACCCGTAGAACACGAAAATTAGTGCACATTTATTGCGACCGTGTTCGATCACGTCTCAACTAAACTAAGACTAAATCGTTATTAAATCGATGAGCTACCGAGGATTAGAGAAAAGATCGAGCGTAGCGAGACATCGATGAGAGTGCAATCCATCGATACTACTTGGATCATTCCTACGAGTAGAGAAGCAGGGCACGGTCAAGAAAGCATTTCTCTCGATCTTTCCAATTTGCATTTAGTCCCATTAACCGTTGCTTTACGTTTATTCATTCCACAAAGGCGATAACGCGATTAACATCGACAAATTACACATTCCGTGTGTCCTGAGTCTCGAGAGGATCGAATTAACGAAAAAGACGTGGGACGATGCTGGTGAAAAATCGTTTTTCGCGCACTTTTGATCGCGCTGAAACTTACGGTCGATCGAGCGTCGACGCAGTGAGTTTAACCCAAGGGCCGTTTGCAATCTGCACACCTAGAATGTAAGGTTTAGTCGCGAGGATAGAATTTGCTTCGTTCCGCGAGGCAGAATCGCCGGAATCGATGGTAAGAGTATGAAATTTGATAAAATCGGCGAGGAAGACGATCGACTGTCAGAACGAACCGCGTCAATCAATTTAAACTTAACAATGATCGCTGAACTAAAAGAAAAAAAAAACGCGTACGTTCGCATACGCGCACGATGTTCCGTGCGTAACACGAACGTGTTCATGGATCACCGTAGATATAATTTAATGTAACCGTAATTTAAATAAAAAGAAATTTATCTAACCTGCCCTGACTGTTCATCGACAACTACGAGATCCGTTTCTATATTTATTTCTGCAAAATTATTTTAAACGTTTCGATCATGGAACGAGATATTTCGAATCCCTCGTCAGCTGCATTTTTATTTCTTCTATTTACAATTTAATTTTACTAATAAAATCCTTGGTATACTTTAGAGTTAAATGATGGGAGCTTGCAACGATTATTCTCTTGAGTTTTCTTTTTATTGTGCAAATTGTGTAATCTACATAGACGGTGTTTCTATTATAAAGTCAGTGCTAAAATGCACCTTATATGTATTGAATTCGGTTTCCATCGAACCAGTAATATTCGTAGCAATCATCAGGACTTTGGGCGTGGATATTATGTGTTATTTTTTATAGCCTTTCAGCATTTCGTCCGGGATTGCAGCCACGTCCGAATTCACTTCTATGAAGGTTTTCGCCGGTTTTTCGATTTCAGTGACTAGCTCTTCCTCGACATCTCTAACGTTCTTCAGCGATAGACGTATGTATTGATGAATTGCGACGAGATTGTTCGTTTTGTCCGACCCCATCGTACCGGTTCTGGTCAACATCGACACGAACCGATCGTTCGACATGTAAATATGACTAACTGAGCTTTCCTGCGAACAAAATAATCAGATCAATACTTTAGCTACTTTACTAGCCCAACGTTTCAAACTAGCATTCTGCTTTGTGTAATACGAAGAATATAGCACAATACTTTTCTAGAACCCTAGACAACGTTTCGTATAATACGAAAAATAATAACTCACCAAATGAGAGTGCAGATCAGGTTCGACGACAACGTTGTTCCCGTATTTTCCAAAATAGAAAGAAGCATAATGGCTGCAGTTGTTCAGGTTGGTCGTCTTCTGGATGACCAAGTACTCATCGCGGTGTTTGCTCGGCTGAGACTTCGGTCCCATTTCGTACAAGAATTTTTTATATCTCCGATTGGAAGGGAAGTATTTGACATCCATGTTGACCACGCACTGACCGATCGTCGTGTTCTCCACAACGTCGAACGTTCCTCCTCGACGATCGTCCGAGTAGCCACCCACGTTGAAACGCTCGGCGATCAGTTTCAGATCGTTCAGCTTCGAGGTGTGGATATCCGCGTTCACGATCAAATACGCCACCCCGTGCTCGTCGAAACGGATCTCGAACGGTTTCTCGCCGCACAAATAACGGAATTCATCCTCCGACAGGTCTACCTTGTTGTCGACGGTCGGATCGGTGGTTTGTCGCGTGCAATTGTCCAGGCGACAGTAGAGCGCGTATGGTTGTTTCGGTCTGCAGAAGAGGTCCATGGCCATGGCGTTTATTATGTGAGTGCCGTCGTGATCCATGGGGATCGACGTGATGTTCATTTCCACGTCGAACGTGTACTCTGGGCTGTGCTTCCACTGGACATCCTTGAACAGGGACGCTGCGAACAAACGCGGGAGATTCTTTTCGTTCTGAATAGCGTGTAATCAGAGTGTTCAATCATCTATTGGGATTCATCATCCTCGTGAGAAAGAAGATCATCTTTATAGTGTTTCTTCGATCTACACGAAACAGGTCTGTATTGCAAATTGTCACGAATGTTGGTATCAAAATTAGAGAACAATTTCAAGAACCATCTTAACATGTATTGATGTTTCAGGAAACCACCTTTATTTGTGATGGATAAATAGTCCAAGAACGATTAAAAATGTTAGGAGAAAGGTCCTAATGCACGAAAAGTAAGTATAAATATTTACACATATACTTCATTCGCACAAAATCTACACAAAATTGTATTTTTTGAACGATGCACGAGAACTGCAAGAAAGGATAGAAAATGGATTTGAGGCACTCGACGAACACTCATCTATAACTCGAAAAATAAGGTGCGTTATTTAATTATTTCAATATATAAATTCAACTACATTTCCTCCCCGAAGCACCCCGTTTTCTTTCAGTTCGAAACGTATGGACACCTAAATCCAATGAAATTATGATCCTGACGGTCCAACGAACTCCGTTAAAAAAATCACTATTCATAAACGATGCTGCTTTTTTTTTACGACAATGCTGTACAATTTTAGCTTTTGAAATTGAATTTTCGACGGATTCTAAGTTGGACATCGAGGTATTAATTACTTTATCGTATATTACGGCGCGATTAGTTAGGAATTATCGTTCGCGTAAGTAGTTATTGTCCCGATTCAGAGTGATTGGCTACAAAGACGGTTAAATGGAAGATTGGCTTACCGACCTAAGAAGAGCGGAATTAATAAGGCGTTCATGTCGCAGCACTGTTTTCAACTGGTTTAACATACTTCTTCGCCTCGAATGTTCCTTTATATCAGCGATGCACTTCGACGTCCTTGTAATTTCATTATGTCGTCCCACCACGAGCGATGTAATCGTCGTACGACTTGACGTGTAACTCGCGAATCTCAACCATAACACGGTGCAGTTCGATGCGTCCTGGTTAGTCTTAAAATGAACACCGAGCCCTCAGCTTTGAAAGCTCGAGGGAACGCTACGAACTCTCGACGTTCGAACCTTGAACGCGATTTCGAAGAACGATCGAGTGATATTCGATGCATGGAAAATATTAGGCGTAGATAATCTTTATTTTAAACAGTCCCGAATTGTTCGACGACCAAATTCACGCTACCAGAGTCTGCGGTAGAAAATCGAAGTGAAATTGGTCCAACGAGAACAACGGAATTGGCTGGAACTTCGACGCTCGAATGACCGTAATCTGTGCTGTGAATGGCTCGTGTCGTCGAAGTATTATTCCATTAAACTAGTTACGTAGTTAATGCAAGAGGTCACTCATGTCTCGTTTGAATTATTACTTTCTGAGAAGTTCGTTCAGCGTGTCGCGAAAGTCCGGATTTCCGGGACCAATTCTTAAAAGCGTGAATACGAAGAAGCGAAAACCGTGCTACCATAACACTATTAACGTTATTATATCGTAGAAGTCAGTGATATATTTTTAACTCGTAATTTATTGGGAGTGTAGAACTACAGAACTACAGAACAGGGTCTTTGTAACTGTTTCAATATTATATTCAGAAGTAGATTAACAAATATTTCCTTTTTTAAAAAGGTTAAACTATCATTTGAGCAATCGTTTACATGTATAGAATAGTATCGTATACTTGTGCGTACAAATTAATTTTAGGATATGAATAATAGTGGGTGAGGAATTGGTAGAAAGTCTCAGATTTACAATATCAAAACGTCTTTCTTAATTTTTTCTTTGGGGTTGTACGGATTATTTAGGACAGTTTTCTTCATTCTCGGCTCAAAAAGCGTAAGACGTTTACGTTCACACGTGACCAGGGGTTCGTGTACGCGTACAAGCTGGTCGATGCTGGATTTCTAATTTCTGGCAACGGGTTTCGAGTGGGATGTATGCTTCTCAGGGTCAAGCTTATTTTCTGGTAGAGCCTCATCGTCATAGGATCGTTCAACACTCGCACAACGCCTGTGGATTCGGTGTACGAGTGCATTTCCCTCTCAGAAATGCGGAAATGGCTAACGGATGTGATCTGAAAAAGGTGTGACAAAATTATATAGCTTATTCAGCCATCTCTGGGAAAAATTTTAATGGGTGATTCTAGAGCCCAAAATAGGACGAAAATCAAGAATACCAATTTGTTGGTTGAGGCTTCTTTAAAAAGTTATTAACGTTTAAAGTTCCATGCAACCCGGACAATTTTTCGACAAAATTAAAAAATTTCAAATCGTTCTAAAAAAATTGTTATTGGCTGCAGAGGTCTATTCTAATCATTTTTTATGAGTAGACATACCCGCGAAATTCTACGCATTTTCGAGAAAAAAATTCGAGAAGGTGTGAAATTTTTCGGCGAAATTAAAAAATTTCGTATCATTCTAGAAAAATTACTTTTAGTTGCGGGGGTCAATTACAATCATTTTTGGTCAATAGACATATTCCCGAAATCCTACGCATTTTCGAGAAAAAAATTCGAGAAGGTGTGAAATTTTTCGGCGAAATTAAAAAATTTCGTATCATTCTAGAAAAATTACTTTTAGTTGCGAGGGTCAATTACAATCATTTTTGGTCAATAGACATACCTCCGAAACCCTACTCACTTTCTGGAAAAAAATTCGAGAATGTGAAATTTTTCGACAAAATTAAAAAATTTCAAATCTTGCTAAAAAAATTATTTTTGATTGTAGGTGTCAATTATAATCATTTTTGGTCAATAGACATACCCCCGAATTCCTACTCACTTTCTAGAAAAAAATTCGAGAAGGTGTGAAATTTTTCTACAAAATTAAAAAATTTCAAACCGTTTTAGAAAAATTATTTTTGGTTGCAGAGGTTCATTATGATCATTTTTGGTCAATAGACATATTCCCAAAATCCTACGCATTTTCGAGAAAAAAATTCGAGAAGGTGTGAAATTTTTCGACAAAATTAAAAAATTTCAAATCGTTGTAAAAAAATTATTTTTGATTCTAGAGGTCAATTATAATCATTTTTGGTCAATAGACATATTCCCGAAATCCTACGCATTTTCGAGAAAAAAATTCGAGAAGGTGTGAAATTTTTCGACCAAATTAAAAAATTTCAAATCGTTGTAAAAAAATTATTTTTGATTCTAGAGATCAATTATAATCATTTTTGGTCAATAGACATACCCCCGAAATCCTACGCATTTTCGAGAAAAAAATTCTAGAAAGTGTGAAATTTTTCGACAAAATTGAAAAATTTCAAATCGTTCTAGAAAAATTATTTTTGGTTGCAGAGGTTCATTATGATCATTTTTGGTCAATAGACATTCTCCCGAAATCCTACTCACTTTTGAGAAAAAAATTAGTATACCTAGTATATTAGATTGGTGAAACAAAATCTAGTTATTTCTAAAAAACAGACTTCTACGAAATAGCGTAGACACCATTTGATTTCTTCTACATTAACAAAATGATTCACCTTCAATCTCACAGTTCGTTAAACTCGAAAATTCTATTTTCAGATCCTATGAGAATCGATGCCCATTTTGGAGTGAAATTACCTTATCCATGGACATATTCTTTTTCCCATTGGAGTCATCGTTGTTCCCAAAGAAGTAGGTCTTCCTGTTAGGGCAGTTCTTGGGATCTCGAACCTTCTCGATCTGGAGGATCGCCCTGTTCAGCGGCGCGATTTCCGGTCGCGGAGGTTCGAAGACGATCTCTAGATCCCTGTTTCCCGCGTCTCTGGCGCTGTAACCCGCTCTTGACATTTTGATTTCCACTTCGCAGGAGCCTGTTCTCGAGTTCTCCGTGGTGACGAACCGCTGACGTCCCTTTTCCAGCTCGAAGCCTATGTTCAGCTGATCGACGATGGCCCTTACCATGTTCAGCCGCCATCTTGGTATGTGCCTCGAGACGACCAGGTTCTCGATGCCCTTAGCGTTGAATCTGATCTCGAACGGTTCCCCGTAGATGAAGTTGTCGCTCACCGGGGTGAAATACTTCTCTTCAGGGCACTTGCTGTTCTCTGGATTAGGTCTGAGGATCTTTCCGTTCGCGAAACGACAAGTTAGGGTGTCGCTGCCTATGGGTCGACACTTGAGCTCGGTCATGATCATCGAGCAATAAGTATCACTGTTCCCCTCGTAGATATTGTCCGTGGATATGTTCACCGCGACATCGTAAATGCATTCTGGGCTGAACTCCTGCCAATCATTGACTCTATATGCCTCCTCGTCGACGGCCATTCGTGCGGCTAGAAATACAAGATCATGCAGATTTTTAGTTCGTTCAAGCTTCACAACATGGTAGCTAAAGTGCAAGAACAAAGTATACGTACCCAAGAAAAATGGTAGAATTATTGCCAACATGTTTAACAGCTTCTCCTGATACGACTAACGCGATCGCGTTCCATGTCTGTCTTTATACGACAGTAGAACTTGATTCATTGCCGTCTCCTTGACAGTACAATTGACGAACAATTTCATTAATAACCGCTTCCGTGTGAATCTTGGTTCCTGCAGACTTCTTCCGTATCGTTTTGCACGCCTAATGCCATTTCCCTCCGATTGTAGAACATCTGAAAGATTTCAGCACGAGTAGACTCTGTTAAATGTTAATCGACCGATCCAGAAATTCTCGCACGTTATTTTATGCAGCGTGCACTTTTACGCACATTAATTTTCAAACATTTCCTTCGACTTTAGTATCTGAATACTCGCGTCTTATAGAAATGTAGAACTCCTAAAAGTATAATATAAGAAAACTAACTTCCCTCTTTTCTGGCCAAGTCAAGGGAAGCACAGGCTAGGTTTTCTTACAGAAATGAAAAGTTTCTTTATTATTTACAGAATCGAATGGCAATACACTTGTACACTATTCGCAAGAGCAGTGATACCAGGACAATCGATGTGAATTTTGATTTGGAGCCACGTATCACTGCTCGTACGCAGCGGGACTTCCTATCGCGATGCGGATGATGCACAGAGATCGTCTCGATCAGGCCATCATCGAGAAATCGTCGTGCTGCGAGTTGTCCCACAGCCATCCGCCGATGAACATGCTGGCCAGCTCGGGATCCTTCACTTCCGGTGGCTCGCTCCTCGCCGGCTCGATCGAGTCTAACCTGAGCTTTATGTTCTCGTACAAAGTCGCGCCCTCGAACACTCTGACCAACACCACGTTCGTGGAACTGGCCATGAACTCGGTGGACGTGATCGTGATGTAACTTTCCGACGAACTCTGCAAAGAGACAAACGTTCTTTATCATCCTTGTAATACTATAGTTACATCAAATTTTTATACTCCATATTCTTGGTCAATCGACTCTAGACTAGACGTTCAATTTATATATTACGCAAGCTTTTTTAATTGTACACGGTCGTGGATACTTTGGAAACAATGGTCATGTGCGATCATCGACGTTAAGCGGCGTTCCGGTACTTTGGGATGGGTGACCGCCCCGGAGAAAAAATCGCGTTTTATTCAAATTATTATCAATGTAAACTGTTCATATTATTCCTCTCTATCAGATTTGTAATTGAGAATTACTTGTATTGTTAATATTATAAGAAAAAAAAATAGTAGAAGTGTTGTAAATATCAGTGTTTAATGAAGAAGGTTTTAATAAGGGTTTAAAAAGATTCAAGGGTTAGGTGTGTTGATTAGGTAAATCGAGGGGTTAATTATCGTAGGATTTGAGATATAATTATACTTACAGCGGTGGACATGACGTCGTTGTGCTGACGCATGCTGCTGTCCGCTCTGCCAAAGAAGTAGGGCACGTTGTGGGTGCAAATGTTGAGGTTCCTGATCTTCCGTATCTGCAGTAGTCGATCCTCCGTGGGCCCGTAGATGGTCTCCAGGACGTAGCCTCGATCCTCCGGCACGACGTGCCAGGCCAGGTTCCTGCTCACGGAGAATATGGTCGCGCACTCGCCCTGAGTGAAGTTCTCCATTGCCTCGAACGTGTCCTCGTAGTCGACGAGCTTGGCGCCGATGTTCAGCTGGCCGACGATCACGCGTATCATGTCCAGCTCGCGCGGCTGTATGTTCTCGTTGACGACGAGGCTGTCCAGGCCGTGCTCGGTGAACTTGATCTCGAACTGATCGTCGTAGATCTCGTACGCCTCCTGTCGGTTCACGGCGCTCACCGGGAGGCCCGGTATCGTCGGGTCCAGGCTCTCCGTCACGAAACTGTCCGCCTTCGAGTCGCTGAAATGACAGCTGAGCACGTGGTAACGGTGGAGCTTCGGCTGACAGATCAGCTTCGAGGCGACGTTCAGCCGGACGCTCGTGTAGCTGCCCTCCGAGATCGCCGTCGAGTTCACTTGAACGTTGAATGTGTACACCGGCCCGTACAACCATGGGACGTCCACGTTCACGCGTGCCGCTGAAATTAGTCGCGAATTAATTCTCCTCGTGTTGAATTGGCGCGAAAAAGATATTTCCAACAAACAAAATAGTTTGCTATTTGTTGAGAAATCGACAACTTTGCGGGGTTGAGAAAATTCACTATATTAGTGTGTTTTAATTTATGAATTAAAGAATCTACTCATTGTGTTTGTTTTCTTTTTATTGCAGGTGGAAAGGGCAGCTGCTCCAGTGATCGGACGATTAAAACGACACTGGCTGTTTCGAGCCGAAAATAGGTAATGACTTTTCTTTTCAAAAGAACTACATTTATCCTTGAAGATGTATAAGTTATAAGCTCCAAGATACCCCTGATCGAATCTCCATAGAATTAAACCAAAAGAGCATTTTCCCGCCAAAATCGAGCCCCCTGCTCGCGCGTAAGGTTGCAGGAATCTCAAGATGTCGTTACTAACCTCAGACTCGAAGCTCCGCAGCCAATCACAATCACTTACGATAACGCGCGTCGAAACGAGGCACTTATGCTATCAGCGCCGAAAATAGTTGGAAACAATGATGCGTGCGTGGAACGATCCGTTCCATAAAACTCACAGACATCTCTATCTCCACTTTTTTCGTTTCTTACAAAACTTTGGAGCTTTCGATCACTGGTGCATGTCGCTACCCTACTTTTCGCCCAATGGCGACCGCGCGCGCCAGACGCAGCGCGTGTACGCGAATTGAATGATTGGAGGTTTGAATGGGTCGATTCAGAGACGGGTCGCTAGTCTTCGATACTGCACGGTCGTATCACGAGTCGGGTTTCTTTAGAGTTTTAACTTTCTGCTCCGTTTTTTTGCACCACCATCTTCATCTCGAACGTCTTACCGCGTTGTCGAAGCGTTTGGGGTTCTATGTATTTGAATTTCTCACGATTCGTTCGTTTTCGCGATCACACGCGTACGTCACGATCGACGGGCTTACCTAAGAAAAACGGCACCACCTGCAGCACTATATTCATGGTGACGCCGTGCAACGTTCGACTCTACTTTAGCGGAGTCACCGGTGTTGGGGCCGCTCTTATACCGTGGCTAAACTGCACTACTGACCTCTTCTTACGATTAGCCAGCTCCAATTTACCGAAGCCGGCTCTCTCTTTCCAGTAGGAAAATAAAGCGTGGTGCTGAGCCGCGATAGATTTAGAGAATTGACACGACGGTGCCAATCGGGGTCATGAAGGGACCCCGAGCCACCCGTTTAACACGCCGTTTCGAAACTGGCCGGCAATTACCCCTTGCGTGTCAACGACCGTCGGTTATCGTCGTCCCAGCCTAGCTGCGTTTCAATTCTGCTTTTTAATTCGAGGCCGTGACGTTTAATGACGTCAACTATCGTTTTTCTGATAGCGTTCGGTTCCGATGCATCCTGAACCTCCCCCTCGACACAGTTCTTTCACGCGAAAGATGGTCAATTGGAAAGAATAAGTTCCGAACGTCAGCCATCTTGTGTTTGCATCGCTCGAAAGCTATTGTTATTCAAAATTTAATATGTACAAAAGATATAAGACGGTTGCATGAGCTCTGCTCGTCGAGTCCATTACTTTTCGACATTTGTGTAATTCGCTGACTACCTGCTTCCGTTCCCCGGTTAGCTATTTTAGAGGATCACGTGGGGGAGTAAATCGTTTGTGACCGTAGTTATTCCTATCTCAGAATTTTACGTCCAAAATAGAATGAAATAATACAGAATTCTAAAAAATATTTTACGAACAGAGATGTTATATTCGGTATTAATTTGCGCTATTTCCCAGGCTGAAATATTGCACGTTTTATTCGAGGGCTCGCAGAAAGATTAACTGTTCAGGAACGAAACGCTACGAATCAAGATAATCCGTGCAAAGGTTCGTGCGTCGGGTAATTTGCTAATTGGACGCCCCAGCTGAATATACCCTCGCTCTATACTAATTTAAAATCGATAAATTAGACGGCTCCGTGCGTTCTCGTCCCGCGGGGGACGCGTAACCGTGCGAAATCCGTATTTCGAAGGGCAAAGTCGGACGGCGTCGTCGACGAACTTGATCCCGACGGACGCGTTCCAGAAACTAATAAGTTCTAATTCGTTTGCATATGTTGACACTTTGATCGCGCGCGGTGGACCGTCCTTCGACAACCTCGTGACCTCGGGGAAACGAGATTGTTCGAGGTTGAAAATCGGGTCAAGCCCGGCGTTCCAAGAAGAAATTTTCGTGAAACGAACGGTGATAGATCGTGGACGGTGTCAACGTTTTAAAACTCGTTAAGGCCTGACCCGTCCTTCGTGAATCATTGATGGTACCGACAATAACCGGTCACGAGTAGCAATCGAGCGATCCGAGGGGGAGGGGGAAGGGCTAACTGACCTAGGAGATACAACACTACAGTAAAGATCATGCTGATGGCATGGTCGAAACAAAGTTGCCATACCCGAGTGGTGGCTAGCCTTTTATATGGTCGACGTGCAGCTGGCCAGGGGCTGCGGTGGAAAGCAATGTAATTGAGTTTCCACAGTCAGCAACGCGAATTTCTATCAGGGAATTGCTATCGTCAACATTTGGTGGTTTAGAAACCGTTTCACGGTACTCGCGTAGATGAACCGCTGGGTAATTGTACAGGATGTTAAAGAAAGTGTTTTGGGATGAATAAAAAATCAAAACGTTAAAAGTTAACCCTTTTGATGAAAAATAGATTTCTATTACTTTTTTTCTCCTTTGTAAGTTCACATCTACTTATCCACATAAGTAGTGAGATTTACACCTGGCTATCTCGAGGATCTTTTGCCTCCGCAACATTGTATAGCCACTACACTCTCGTTTTCTTATCAGCGTGCTTTGGCTCATTATCTTGTTAACAATAATATCTCTCATTCATGCCCAATTTAATTTCATTTTCTTCCAGATTATTACGCAACACGGTATATACTTGTTGGTGTTCATCATCCCATCAACAAACGTCGTGTTTTCAACACATTCGATCTAAGATTCTTCTGCCAAAACTCAGTCTTACATTTACCCCAAATTGCTTTACCTAGGATCTTCTTCTGGTTCTTCAGGGTCTTCTTAATAGTTCTTTTACGAATATAACGTGGTCTGTGGTGGATGGTTTTATAATTGGTGGTGGTGAACGTGTCAAAGAAAAAGGAAAAACTGGTGGGTGGAGTATAATCATAGGGGCATCATTGGCAAGGACCTTGAAAATGACATTTATCTCGTAAGCGGAGAGAGTAATTTTGTCATTATCGCGTTGATCTGCTGCAATGATCTCGTTTGCAACACTAAATTAGAGGACTGGCGCGATAATAGGCGAAATGATGGTTTTTGGCAAGTCCAGAGCCTCGCTCCTGCGATCTGGTTTTTGAGCGCTCAAATAATAATTTCTCTCAATATTTAGTCTAAATTCTAAACACTGATAGTGCTAAATTCGAATTCTAGCGTGAACCGATAACGTTGGAAATGACACGGAAATGCTCGCGAGCCCCCAATCCGTGTGACGGGAAAAAGAATCGCATGGAACGTCTATTCTATACCTCGTTTATGACCCTGACCCATGTTACACGATAAAACAATGCTTGGAAATGTTTTCTGTTCGGCAAATATTCCCTTTTTCGTGTAGATTCTATAGAGATATTGAACGAGCAAATAACAAGATTTTCCGATTCCCCTGTTTTCATTGCCCCGAAGCTATTCGCAGATAAACAAAATTGTGTGCTTTGTTGAGTTTCGCGATGTTCCATGGAAACATGTACCGGTATTCGTTCCCAGAAAAAGGTTTTTTTCAGCCAGAAGTCGGTATAGCCATCTTGTGATTCAAAACTACAACTAAAAGTTGTCGATCGCCGCGACGTCGGTCGATGTGGGATATTTTAGTAACACTTTTACGTCCATTACATAGGTAGCAGCCCAGACTCCGGAGACCCAAAGCGAATTTATACATAGTAAATACGACGAAACCTGATTGCTGATTCATAAAACATGGTAAGCTGTTGAAAAACACGACCGTGAATCAAGATGACCTATTTGCATAATGATGGGTGTGATTGCGTACCAAACTATACTGCAACTAAACGTATTTTGGACCAGGTCATGTGTAACAGTAAATAATCTCGACAATGATTTATTTTTTCTCTCAAGGTTTGATTTTCAATCTTGAATACTACGCGTTGTAGTTTTGTTTACTGTTTTCTATTTGGTGCAATCACAAAGGCCATCTTATGCAGGAAGTAGCAATCGCCACTTTCAAGTTATTCGACAATATCTCGACGAACGATCAACAGCAAACTATCTTCGATAATCATTAGATTGCATATCGAATCGGAGGTAACGGTAATTCTGCCGGGATGACCACATCGACGATCCCAGCAGACTTGCCGGTCGATGCACTGGAAGACACGAAGCTGGTAAACAGAATCAAAACATGGCCGAAGGAAAAGAAACCTTACTGGTCCCTCAACTGGTGGTAGATTCGTGAACTCAACACGTTTAACCTTTTAACATAATGCAGTATGTATTTATTCTTTTCTTAATAAAAATCGACACACATAAAAGCAATATTACAAATAAGCCGAAAGAAATTCTCTTTTCGCGTTACAAATATTTTTTAAAAATACGCAAGGCTATTCGAGTGAACAGCACCGTATAAAATGTTTGTGGCGTTGCACAAGATCGTAAAACAATTGATTCAGCAAACGACCGATTCGCAGTAGCGTAAATACAAAAGTTCGCCACGGTGGAATCGATCGAAATTCGAGGAAAATGCAAATCCGGTAAAACGACCGAAAAATAGTATCGTGTGAACGGGCTGTAAGTTATTGGCATAGTCGTCGCGTAAAGTCTTTCAAATTTTCAATCCACCTGCTGAGCGACGCGCGATCGCCAATAAGGTACAACTACGAAGCAGCACGGGGGCAGAAATCCGAGGCGCGCTATTGGATCGCCTGGCAAGTTGCGCACGGGTAAGTCAACTATACATTGATGACGTCACAACAGTTCGTCCAATGCAGTCGCAGGAATCTCAGTAATAACCGTACGTGCGTGCCGTACGCTGAAGCGTGCTACTCGTACTCGGGCGTACAAACGAGAAAGGGGCTCTATAGAAAATTTCCGTGTCCGTGAAAGATGTTTCCCGACAGAGACATGCCAGACGGGGTTCGCGTTCGCTAGCATTTCTATTCACAATAGGGAGCACCGATATTTTGCGAGCTAAATGTATTCGAGGAATCGACGTGTCGAGGGCAGACTGCACGCGAACCGCCGCCGCCGTACCTGACAGTCCACGCGGCCCGGCCCCAAAACACTTTCTCCTCGCTATATACACACGACAAATCGCATCGTGTTTCATTCACACCGCGAGCGCCACTGGCAATGTCGGGAAGTGACAGTCCAACATTCTTTCACGGCCAGCCCTGGTCCAGCTGGATAGAAAGAATAGGACGAGACAAGCCGTTGAGTAAGTGCGCTGAATCACATCGAAAAGCTCGTTCGTTCGTTCGCTGTCGCTTCACGATACGCGACAACAACGAGCGTCGAGCTATCGTGTACCTAACCTCAACTTCGATGCTCCTTTGTCCGTCGGCTTGACGCACGGGCATCACGTTGGGGGCCCCCTATCGCACGCTTTTATTTAAAAAAAAATCGTCGCCAACGATTGACTGCCCGCGGTCGTGGCGTTTTGACGTTTCGTCGTGACGCCGTCCGCGTTTTTGACCATTTTTCGCTGGCAATTATGTAATTCGTAACGAAATACCGACCGTGAAATACACGGAGCGTCGAAGGTTTTAGTTTTCAGCGTGCAGTCTGGCACAGATCGGTCCTAGGACTCGTTGAACGATTTCGATCGGACGCGCTCCTCGATATCTTTTTTCTCTAATTATATGTATACTTGTATTCTTATATCTGTCCTCTTTCTTTTTCTTCTCAGACGAGATTCTGTTGAAAGATTATGCATGTATAAAATGTAAACATAATAAAAGTTGTTTACCCAGAAGTTTGTGTTTTTTATTTCATGTTCTGCTTTTGAAACCAATAGAGATGTATGAAAACTAGATTTTAAAGGGTAGATTTCATCTGTAGAAGATTGGCAGTAATATAGAGTCCATTATAATGTTTGTTCAGATGGTAATTACAATTATAGTGCAACATACTTGAACTTTGAATAGATGTCTAAAATCAGTCATGATAATCTTTTATCTTCCTGCTTCTCATTTAAGTACTAATTTTAGAAATATGCATTAATTGCATATTGTACACATTGTCTGTACCAAGTAGTTGACAACTCAGATATTTTTGTATTAAGTTTTTATCATATACTCCATAAAAGGATTTGGTTTGTTTCAGGCGATGAAGAAACAGAAGGTCAACTCTCTAGCTCAGTTACGCGTCTTGCAGCAGAAGGTAAATATCATTTTACAATCTGTAATTTACATTTCCATTTAATATTGGAAATACACAATGCCCTTTATTGTATCAGATTTATGAACTTTATTAACAAGAGAATTTCTGTTACAGACATTGATTTATATGGATTTTGCCCAGAGAGGGACAGTTTTTACACGGTAGTGTGTGAAACATGCCACGCCATAGTTAAACCACAAGCTCTTATACAACATATGGGTATGTCATTTTGTATCCAAATACTTTGCTTTGGCATTAGTTGTGTAGTTGTTAAATCAGTATCTGCTTATTCTTTGTGCATAAATGTTTCTCTATACGTTTTAAGGACATATTTTAAGTATACAATAATAAATCCACTCAAAGAATGGAATTGAGATACCAAGGAGATAAACATCTCTTGATTTATGCATGTACTCTAAAACACCTCGATTTTACGGACTAAAATTCGACGACCATTATTTTAAAATTACTGCAAATGGGTTTAATATCTCATCAATAAATATCAAATTAAAATTGTTTGATATTCTCTGTTACTTTCATTTAGTTAATTCTTTAAAACACGGTTATATATTTAGCAATCATGGCCGCATTTTGGACAATCCCCTTATAAAATTAATCTTAGAACTATCTTATCTTTATTTGTGAAACAGTTCTAATATCTGTAATCGAATAAAAATTGGGTAGAATTTTATTCAATTAAAAGATAATGATTTAGTCGCGATGCTTATTCAACACGAGATAGACTAATATTATTCTGTAATTCTTTACTTAGATTTTAATAATTTTCCGAGATTTTTATCCAGATAAGAATTCCCCTTATCTCTGAAATCCATTGTATCGAATTTTACAATTATTCGAGTGCATACATATTTGATTTACAGAATTGTTTTCCTCGATAATGAAAGGCCATAGAATTTGAGTACACTCAGAAGTGTATAATTTGTTATTTTAGGGACATTCTGATTTAATGAATTCCTTTCTCCTCAATTAGTCCTTTAAATCGAGGTTCTATTGTACAAGCTCGCGTCGGTGCGTTCAATTTACTTAATATCACAACGCTTTCAAATGCCGTCTTTGATTCTCAATGCTTTAAGATACGCAAATATAATAAATGACTAGCAAAGCTATCCGTAGTGAATTCTTTCAAGATGTCGTTGGCTCGGGATTAAACTGTGACACAGTGAAAGGGAGATACAGACGTCTCCTAAATCCTGTTGATACAATTTTACACAATTGGAAATTATAAATCGATACACGATAATTCTCAATGTTCATAATTCAAATGTTGTTGGAAGTGATAATTTTGTGATACTTTGAAAAAAGAAAAATCAAGACACATTGAAAGGATCCACTATACGTACGAACAAGAAGAACAATTGAACGAGAACGGTAGCTTTTTCGATCATTATTTACAGTGTTGACGATCTTGCCGATTTCTAATAATAATCGTTCATTCTTAGTTTTGAAGATGTAATTGAAATCTTGAGTTAATACCCAATTCTATACAAGGTCCACCATAGAGCAACCAACGTGTAGGTCACGGAGATCGGTAAGGTGGTCGACACAGTGAATAATCATCCTTCTTTTCAGGCCGACTAATCACCCGCTCTTGAGCGTTTACCATCGTTGTAAACGTTGCTCGTATTTTGCCGCAGAAAGTCGCCATCCTTCCGGCACGGTCAATTTTCCAACTCCCTCCACCCCGGTCGTAAAGCCTCCCGTGAAAACGCCCTATTGCAAAGTGTCGAAATTGAAAAAGGCGCAGTCGTCGCCGCAGATCACGACCGGGACCGCCAAGATCAATCACACGAACGTGAAACGGAACTCGGAGCAGCCTAGCGTGCCCACGAGCCTGTCGTCGACGTCGTTGCCGATCGTCACGTCGCCGCGATCGCCCCTCGAGTCGCTGCCGGTTCAGGCCGCGAACGCGACCGGGACCACGGTATCGTCCAGTCCCGTGAAGAGCCCTGGAACGACAGGCGGTCAGACTCGCCGGAAAAGGCTCAAGACGGACAGGTCGCTGCTCAAGGATCGCGAGTACGATCCCGATCGTCACTGCGGCGTCTGGAACGACGAGACCGGGAAGCCTTGCACCAGGTCGCTCACGTGCAAGGCGCACACGGTCTCGCTGCGACGGACGGTCCTCGGTCGGAGCAAAACCTTCGACAAGCTGCTCGCGGACCACCGCGCCGCGAAAGAGATACCGAACAGGCCGACGAAGGTGACCGTAACCGGCACCGTGACCGTATCCTCCGCCACCTCGAACCTCAACCCCCTGACACCCAACACCCCCGCCTTGACCGTCGAAACGGAAGCGCCCACCTCGCCGCCCGTTCTATCGCTGCCAGACACGTATCCACTGCCAAAGGTAAGAACCATCCTCCATCGCCTTCTTTTACACCTCTGTTGCATCCTTGGTAGGAATCTGTTTATTATTCACCATCCACGTTAGGGTAGTCCAGAACTATAGCTTCTTGTTCCTGCAATAGGGGCTCAACGTTCAAGCTTAGGAAAGACTAGCGTTAAAGAGGATATTCCATGTGCTAGGGTTCTTGATGTGTGTTGACATTGATTCCTGTCTTCCTGTGAATGGATGAAACAGTTTGAGATAAATTAAATAATAGGAAAGGGTCCTCACAGGGAAAAATTGAAAGAATGTTGTTTTATTCCGGGCTCAGCAGTCGAGATACTCAAATTCTAGGCCCAACATAGTATAGTTTGTCACCATTATATAATTGCTCCACAAGAGTGCTATTGTATATCACCGGTGACCACCACCACGGAAATTGCATTAAACATAATTATACAACTTACATAATAAAAAATTCTTTCTCTAAAAAAGTCAACGTGTTGAAGAAGGAAATAAGTTTCCCGTACGTTTGAGCACCTATTGCGCAGGAATTATTGTCGAATCTATCGGAGTCGTTCTAACGAAGGATGAGACCAGAGAATTTTCGCGAACAGAACGCGCAAGGACTACCCTAATATTTGTACTGTAAGCTGATGACAAGACAGCGCAGTTATTACGCCGCAGCCAATTAGCAGCTGTGACATCTTCTCATTAGGCTACGGTATACCGGGTGGCATTGAATCCGTCGTGGAATTACAGCGCGTGCAATGACGCTAGGTTTCCGATTGGTGGAACGACACTGGAAACGTTCTACCAATTAGAAGCGAACAATGTTCCGCCAATCCGGAAGTCCTTGCTCGACGGACTCGGTGCCCTCGCGTGTGCAAGGACAACTTCTGTAGCTCTTACTTATTAACGAGATTCTGCAAAGTAAATTAAAATCCCGGATATCTCTTCATTTTTAATAATCATATACACTGTCGCTTTAATTGATACATTAGCTTGGAAAGTATTTGTTAGCGACTTGTCTCATTGAGTGTAATCCTTCATGACGAATCCGCGCCTGAACTTCGGTATTAAATATTAAAACATTACAGCGAAACTGTGTACCGTTGGTTTCAGCGTATCAAGCTCTGTCATTTTGCAGAAGTTCGTTAAAAAATGAGAGTCGAAACAGAGGAGTTCTCCTTGTTAGGTGTCACTTCTCATTTTGCGATATTCTTTTTTTTTTTTGTGACTGTTCTGTCCACCCTTTCGCTGCGGGACGGTTAACGAAGGAACGTCGCGATATATGGGTCATCGATTTCGATTGAATTTTGCAAGCACTATAACGCATTGCATGACTGAAAATCGAGTTTGAAGTTTTGCGTTCCCCGCTGGACGCGTATCGATGTTTCAGACTACGAGCAAAGAGCCGCTCGACCAGCGTTGGGACTTTAATACCGCAATATTAATATGCGCCGGAGTGTATTTTCTAGTTGGCATACATAAATGTGTAGTTTGTACGAGCATATACCATACGTGGTCCAAATAAAGTTTTACGAGCTGCTTTCTAGGAAGCCAACGAAAGTATCGACTTCATGGTTTTTTAATTACACAGGGAGGTAGTCCAACGATTTCGTTTGATATAGAAAACGCGATACGTCGAACTCGATTTTCTCATTAAATTCTGAACATGTTTGTTACTCTTCGTTGCAGCGAAAGGGTTGAATTACCATTATATTTAACGATTCTGTAGATGGTCTCGAGACAAAATAATTTCTTGCGTGGAATTCGGCGCGCAGCTTTGCGTTCACCGAAAGAAATGAAAGTTTTTCATTTTTCCGTTTTGTTTGAAAAGCCTTCTGTTCCGTTCCAAGACCTCTCTTTCGCGCTTACGCGTTTTCCAGGAACTTTCCTGGCCACCCACGTGTTTCGTGAGAATCGTACGTTTCGTGGGAAACGAAACGTACCTCGATGATTAGATATTTAGATCTCTTTCCATAGCTGTTTTCTTTTAATTTTTTTTTTTTTAGTAATGTGTATCTTGTAACAACGTTCTTGTGAAGTGATATGCATGGTCTGGTAATACTGAGTTCTTACATGTAGTGTGTACAATTGAAACTTTCATTTCTAAGCGTCTACCGACGATTCACGACCATATTCGCGATCATAGCTCGGTGAAATTCTTTCACGGCGAATTGTGAAATTATTTTACTTTGTTCTTTCGTAGCCGATCGCTATTTATTTCTGTGCTGGTATTCATTCGATCCGATGACTCGCAAACCTTGTATTACCGAATACCTTTCATTACTCTCTACCTGGAATCATCGTTCTGCCTAGCATTACGATTCGTTCGTCTGAAAAAAATTGTTTAAAATCAATTTCGTTGTTGCCTTGACGCGAGCAACATAAACTGTGCCATCGATCGAAGTTTGTGGAACAGTTACGGATCTTTAATAGCTTTGGAACGCTTGAAAACGTAGAGGCTTGTCGAAGCTGGACAATCTCGGGGAACCTAAAAATTTCCAAATCTTTACAAAGTTATTAGCTTCACTCTTAATCCTTACACGATTGTTAAGCACGCGTCTTACAGTAGAGGCCCCCCTTAATCTTCTGCGGGCAGCCATATTGGAGAACTAACGTCAGTCGTGAAGGAACGGTTTCGAGTATTCGATTAGGCACATGACAAATCAAAACCCGTTAAAAAGAAAAAGAAAAGTGTAGTAAACGTCGCTGACAAACATGGATCGATCGACCCAGACTAGTCAGCTGCGGAACAGTAGCCAGCAAGGATGGTGTCGGTTGATACCTGTTTTCTGTTTTTGTTATTGCAGGCTGTTGATTTGCTTTATCGGTGTCTGGCCCCGCATGGCTCCACTAAACCTGTAAGGCATGGTTTCTTTTGGGCACTTAAACGCCAACACCTCGTAAGGGCCGTACGATTCTTATTGCGGGTCGCCAACGCTTCTCTTTTTTAGACCAAGCTCGAAGAGGACTTCGCCAACGAGGAGCTGAGGAGCCTGGAGTCGTCGATAGTGAACTCGACCGGTTCGTCGCAGTCGAGCTCGATGATGGCGCCGATATCGGTGGTGTTGCCGTCGTTGTCGCCGCTGCCAGCCGCCAGCAACGACGACGACGAGTCGTCGGTGGCGACGTTGGTGCCCAGCACCGCGTCCCCGGCGATACCGGTCGTTCCAGCGTCGTTGCCGGCCGCTTGCGCACAGCCTCCGTTGGCCACCGGTGTCCTGGAGGCGGAGACGCCCGTGGACATCGATCCCGAGGCCGCCATGACCATCTACTCGCCGGTGTACAAGGACAAGCCGCAACTGGTGATGCAGTTGCCACGCTCGAACAATATCGCTCATTCGCCGGTGTCCAGGAGCTACCAGGTCCAGGCCTCGATGCCCAGCCTCATATTCGAGCCCATCGAGCAACTGGAGCAGCTGGAGCAACTGGAGCAGCAACACGCGCCCCAGATCAACGGGAAGAGACTGAACCACGCCACCACCCACGCGGCCCATCCGAGTCCCGTGAGCCAACGACAGCCCAAGAGGACCAAGCACGACTACCAGCAGGATCTGACCACGGCGATACAGGTCGAGGCGACCACCACCTCCTCGCCATATCCCCATTTCGGCGACATCGCCTGGTCGAACTGTCACCCGGAGCCACTGGCGGTCAGTCGGTGGCTTCGCATTTCGTCCAGCCGTAAGCAGTACAACTTTAATATTCACTGACACAAGACCCCGCCCACTCCAGGCTGAGGACCACGCGACCCGGGTGTTTGTCTCTACCTCTTGTTGTCTTTAGTTTCGTCGTTTCGCGATGTCCGTTCGATCGCGATCGGTCTGGTCCGAGGCGCGTGGAGCAGGGACGAGTCTTGATGCACGGTGACGACGACGGGGCGAAACGCGCCGGCGACGTCGTCGAACCGCGGGATCCTCGCGTGGACCGTGTTCCGTACGTTTCCGCGTAGCTCGCGACGACGTTTGCGACGCAGGTTTCCCGGAGGATTCGGTGAGTCCGCGTCGTGTATCCACGACGGGTTAGTTTCTATTATAGGGAAAGAGATTTCGCGGAGAGGATTGACTAAAACCTTGCTCTCTCCGTTTTTCGTTCCGATAGTTTGCTAAATTTTTACGGCGTCGCGAGACGCGTATTAAACTCGACGATGTCCGTGCGAACGTTTATGGAATGGGTACCTGCAGATCTTCGCGTGGAATTCGAAACATTCCTCGAGTTCGCTCGGCGGATCCCATGGAAAATCGTTGTGTCCACATCCACACCCCCAACCCTCGACACCCCTAGCATCTTGTATCAACGATGCTTTTCCGATTACTATATTCTCACCGTGTAAAGAAATCGTGTGACGCGACAATAGCGACGCTAGGCCCTTTCAGAGTATTATACAGGCAGTAAATAGCTTAGGACACCGACTGATATACAATTTACTAAAACGTATGCTTGTCGATATGATTATTAAATGACGACCGGTCAGTCTTGATCAGAATGCTCTTTCTTTATTTGCGTCTCGACTACGTACACGTCCTCGATACATCTTTGGAGCAGTTATAAATTGTAAATAAATATCCACCGACCTTCATGCGGGCCTCGATGTAATCATATAACAGAATTATTTTCTAATTTTTCCGCCAATCTGATATCACTGCATTTCTCGCTCTTGGAATCTTAGTCTCACGTAGGTTTACAATTTTTAATGAATCCAAAGATGACGGACAGGTGTACGGTTCGAAACGTGGACGAATAAGTGGCTGGTTTGCGACCGACGAATCATCACTTTATTCTATATACAATTTATTTCCACGGTCAAAGGTTTACACCGAATCGTTGCCAACTGCAAATATCATCTAAGGTTTCGCGTTCAGGTTCGACTTCCGGTTTCCATCCGGGGGAGATCAGCTTGCCAGTAGGTCGAGGTACGTCGCGAGGAGAGAGTGGGACGATTAATTAGAAACGACATCGAATTTTGGGTATTAAAAACGACGGCGCAAGGGATACAGGGATGCGAGCGACCAGTTTAAAAGAATTCGTGTACAGAAACGTTGAAGGGTATGTGTAGTAGCGTAGTCAAGTAGTTCTTGCGAGCACCGGGGGTGTATTTTGTAAATAACGCCGTCGTCTTTGTAAATACGTAACCGGGTAGGGGGTGGGAAAAGAGGGGAAAAAAAAAGTAGAGTCGCGCGTGTAGAAACTTCGAAGAACTTATTTTCCACGATTCGGTCCGCGAACGGAGGGTCTCGCCTGTACATACATATATATCATAGTATACATATATATATATATTTTTTTTATCAATCACGATCTCTTCAATATTTTTACGTATAATATAATATACATACATAACCCGCGACATCTCAGTACCGTCGTTGCCCCGTTGGTTTTACGTCGATTCTCTTCGATTTGGTTCGCGCGTAGACTTCTATCTAGGAATAGTAGTGCAAACATGCGATTACTCTCGGTCAATGGACACGATACTTTTATAAATACAAATTTTTCTTGACGATTTGGACTCTGGTACGAGTCCTCTGAGAATCGTGTTCTATTTTATTGCTATTTTTTGACTTTGAAGAAACCACCCCCTTTGTCAGAGCACTTATTTTTATTTATGTCTTTATAATTGTTAATGAAAAATTTCAGAATAAAAGTAGCTGTATTTCTTGTGAATAGAAGCCCCTACAATCTATAAAAAGTGACTATACAATCTAGAACAAAAATGGAAGCTCCTTAAAATAAAAACACCCCAATTTTTCCACCATCTTTTTAGGTTTAAATAAAATATCGTGTCATTGCAAATCGAGAGTAATCGAACTATAGAGGACTTGTATAACATCGCTTTAGTTTGACGATATTCGTATAGGATGAAAAATTGTGTTCCGTGTTGGCCGACAATGGCGTCCCAAGCACCCATAGGTGAATTTTTAAATTTACGGGGACTCGTTTGCTGAGACTCGTACGACATTAATGAGCCCTAATTGTCCCGATACGTAGTAGCTATCACACTCGTACACACACACACACCCGAGACGATTATTTATTTTTGTAACTGTGTCGGTTCTAATTTGCGTCGCGCGCCATCTGTTTTTTCCAGCGTGGCGCGACAAGTGGCATATATCTCTATATATATATATATATATATATATGTAGTATACATACACATGGACTTCTTATCATAGATTGTGATATTTAATTAATTAGTGATTAGCAAAGATAATTCTAAAACGTGCGTTAGCGAGAAACGTAGGCGGCCAAAAAAAGATTCGCGAAACGAGGGGGAAAAAGCACATGTACATAGAAAATGGTAAAAAAAAAAAAATAAGTAACGGTGGCACGACTAGAGCTTAGTTTGGCCGCGAAAATCTTTCGATCCCCGGGCGCGTAGGTGAACAAATTCGCTGTACATTTATTCGTGTTTGTAGCGTTCAGAGTATATCGATGAGTTCCGCTTCTCGCGTAAGTGCCGATTCGTAAAATTGTTTCGTTTCATATCGATGGGCGCGGGAGCCGACGAACGACGACGAAGAGGGATGGAAATATACGAACGATTAGGATAAACAAATGGGGAAAAAAGTTTAGGGGAAGAGAAAGAAAAAAAAATCGTAAATTAGTTCCGAGAAGCGAGGGAAACGAGGAGGCTCGGAGGGGGGCGTTCGGTTTTCGTTTTATTCCCGCGCGGTATAAGTAATAGTACGCTAGAAACATTGTCAAATGCTATTTCGAGGCGAGAACGCCGCGACGCGTCGGTCCGGCATCCCCCGAGCGATCGGTTCGCGAATCGAGCGTCGACGAACGATCGGTGGAGCAACGAACCGGAGACGGGGCAAGCTTTTATCCGAATGATATTAATTTTAACTATTTAGGAAAGGTTATCGATTGAGAGTCTTGAAAATTAAATTGTTACTATTCGGGGAAGGCAGCTCTACTTTAGATGTAAATTTTTGCTTCGTTAATTTTGATCTTGCGTTTGAAATCATTTTGATCGAGTTTATTTTTCTCCTATTTTAGTGATCGTTCAATTTTAGCCATTACCTGAGAAGGAATTCCCTGAATCGATATGATTTTATTTTCAAGATCGAGCATAACTACTAATTTTAATTTTAACGAATTGTATATAGTTGGAAAGAACGTCCGTCCCGAAATCGATCTATTTTATTTATTAATAAATTTCCAGCCATCTATAATTTTTTTAATATTCGTTTAGTCTAGTAAGGATTCCGATTAGTTGAGATTCGAGATTTGATGATTTTAAAGACGATACTATTGTATTATGGAACCGAAAAAATTCATTTGGAGTTAGGTATAAATTAATTTTTCTCTTTCGTTTGTTTTGGCTCCCCAGCCCTTGTCGTGCCTAGTATAAATTATTTACGTACCTCTAAAAACAAAGGCCAGTCAACCTTCGAATAATTTTAATTTCTGACAAATGGGATGGACTTATTAGATAAAATCTTTGTTCGTAAGATTTGTTCCCTAGAGTGTCAATTACTGGTACATAGTCACCTATCGATGTCTTCACATTGAAGACCAAATAGTGGTTTTGTATTTTATTAATAACTCGCGATTAAAGTTTCATTCGAATAAGAATTCTGCCCGTCTCTGTCCTCGACTGTACACACACACACACACACACACACTCGCTTTCATCGACCGCATAAACGACTACTTCGCCTTACGATTCTAGCCATAAATTACCGCCTTAAGGATACGTCAGTTAACTACATAGGAACTGACCAAAGTCTCCAATCGATCGTTCGTCGCGTCGTTTCGATAAAAAAAACACACACACACACACAGCAATGATCGAACGATCGGGATCCACTTTACGGATCGACGCGAACGGAGCGTTTCCGGCGTTACTGATCTTCTCGGCTACCTGAAACCGTGATAATTTGTACATAAATCGCGTAAGCAATTACCCACGTACCTATGGTATCGATGAAATCTATATAGGTATATATTATATATATACATAAATATATTGAAATTGAACGAGGGGAGGTTTAGCGAAATCGCGGATGGTCTGGTGCGCTTATGTCGTATTTCGGGAATACTGTCTGTAATATAAAGTAATGGTATCTTCTGTACATAACAAGTGCCCCGTTCGCGAGAACGCTGCGTGTGTACTTTTTGGTTGTACGTATCGCGAGCCAGAGTGTTCAATCGATCGATGCGTTGTTTTGCGACTTTCGACGCGTTCGAGAGAATATCCGTACGACGAACGATAACGATATCGAAACGCAGGGGAGAACGTTTCATTTCGAATCGGGGGAAAATATCGACGTTGGGGCCACGATCGTCCCTGAAATTCGTACGAGGCGTTTTGGCCGGTTGAGAAAGGGAAACTATCATTTTCTTTTCCTTCTTCGACTCGTAAAGCAATAATAGTCAACGATTAAGCGGAATGCACAGCAATAATTTCATCGACCGCGCGTCTTTACGCGGGACACTCGTACGATAACATTCATCGACGTATCGATAGAACGATTTCTATTCGACGAATCACTAAATCCGCGACGCGCAATCCTTCCTTTCCTACCCCCTCGATTCCGAGCGCCCGACACCCTTTTATTTTTCGTATTCGTTTTTCTTTTCTATCGAAGATGCGCCCGTTCTTCGATCGATCGTTCGACGATCCTCCCTTCCGGTCGACGGAACCGTCTGGAAACTCTTAACCCTTAATTGGCGGGTCTATTAAGACCGAATTAAGAGCAAATTCTAGAGAGAATTAAATGTCAGAGAAACGTGCTACAATTAAGC